GAGAACAAAGCCCAAAATGTGAGGTTGACAACTCTTGTTGACATGTTGGATTTTTGGTGCAATAGGCGAAGGGTGATATCTCCCAGGGGGTCCACGGATGAGGAAAAGCCTTCCTCCACACTGGCTCTGAACAATAGGCTGTGAGAGGAAATTGATCTCTCTTCTCTTCTCCCAGCAAACTTGTTTGAGGTCCTTGTTGCCTTCTTTGGGAATTTTGGGTATAATCTGGAAGAACCAGACGACTGCACTCTAGATGCCCAGGTATGTAGCTAAACATTAAAGAAACACCTTCTTCTGGAACACTGTGCCTACAAGACTTTGTGTGGGCCCCAAGGAGAGATCGGTGGAGTGCTTTGTCCTATCTCTGGAGAGATGCACTGCTCAAGTCCAACAGTCTTGAAATGTTCCCCCCCCCAAGAAGTAGGTTAGAAGTGTGGGACAATCTAATTTTGGGAGGGGGTGGAGCAGTCATTCAAATTTCTGCATTGTGTCATCTTCTGTTACAATTCAATATTTCAAAAATAAGATGTGAACGGATCTGAGAATCCAAAATTGTCATATCTCAGGAAAAACAACAACAAAAGGACATTTAATCAAACACTTGTGCCAAAAGAYTAGSCCTTTCTTGCCCTGGYYKAGATGAATTATCRTGTACAGGGATCATAGAATCATAGAGTTGGAAGAGACCACATGGGCCATCTAGTCCAACCCCCTGCCATGCAGRAARARCACAARSTAYCCCTGACAGATGGCCATCCAGTGYCAGTTTAAAAGCCTGCAAGAAAGGARCCTCCTTCACTCACTGAGGCAGAGAGTTCCACTGCTGAACARTTCTTACAGTCAGGAGGTCCTTCCTWAYGTCCACRTGGAATCTCGTCTCCTRTAATTTGAATCCGTTGCTCTGAGTAGCMRAAATCCGKTTTYTGAAAGAACCCTGGTTTGARCYGAATTAATTTGGTTTTACCAGAAGCGTYGTTTGGATACCTTTGGTAAAACTGAGACAAGTCCTGGTTTTTGGGCCTGTCTGGATGGGTCCTTAGAGGATTTTTGGATTTTATATGCCATTGAAATTGAGCTTCAGACAAAGGCTCCTTCTACACTGCCATATAATCCAGATTACCAAAGCAGGTAATCCACATTATCTGCTTTGAACTGGATTATATGAGTCTACACTGCCATATAATCCAGTTCAAAGCAGATAATCTGAGTTTTATATGGCAGTGTAGAAGGGGCCAAAGTTATCTGAATGCAAATGGATAGGCATGAACTGCCCACAATAACCTGCGTTCCCCAGAACAGTCATGGTGAAATGTCTTTGCTTCTTAATAACCATAACCATAAACAAACCATTTTATGTCCATCTCCTCAGTGAGTGGGTGAAAAGCACATGCTGTGAGAATAGCTTAATAAAAGGTGAAATTTTCTACCTGGAACTGGCATTTTCAATTAATGCAACATACTTTCAGTAGTACATGAGCTTCAGAGTCTCCCACCCTTTGTAAACTTCCTCAGTACACTATGGAACAGAGATGAATGAAAATGCTTGTTTTTGTGAGAAGGGTGGAATATTTTTTTCAGCAAGAATGACAGCACTCAAAAAGAAAACAGAAGTCTCCACAGTTATCTTGGATAGCTAAAAATATAATACATCACAAAACAGCAATCAAGATGCCATGAATTTCCCATCTGGACTCTTATCTTCCTTGTTTTCCTTTTGCTTTCATTCGTTGTTCCATTTTATTGCCATTTTAAAGCCTGGCAAAGACAGCTCGAATGCCAAGAACTACTGACCAATCTCTCACAACTTGCCATAGATGCAGGTGAAATGTCAGGAGAGCATGTTTCTAGAACATGGCCATATAGCCCGAAAAAACCTACAACAACCCAGCAAGATTCTCCTCCTCTCCCATTCTTCCCTCCCCTTCTGAGGCAGTAATTGTTTGACTTTAAGTTTTATTTGATATATATTTTAAAAAATAACCTTAGCTGGAATTGTGAAATTGCTTTAAAATATACTTTATAAAATTGCAGAGCAGCAGAATTGGGGAGGGCAGAGTTAACAAGGCTATATGGAAATATAACTGAGGGGCTACAAATGGGCTAATTGGCACAATTTCATGAACTCAGACTTGAAATCCACAAGCATGTGGACAATTTCAACAGAAAGGAAGAAACCATGAAAATGAACAAAATCTGGCTACCAGTATTAAAAAACTCCAAAATTACAACAGCAAAACAGCAGAGAGGAAACAACCAGGCACATCTTAACACCTCTCAACAAAAGATTTTCCCAGGCTCAGCCAGGCCTTCAAATGCTAATGAAGGTGGTCAGTTGAAACATTCACACCTAGCTCCAGCAGAGAAGAGCTCTTTGCCCCACCCCAGCCATTCCACAGATATATAAACCCATTGTCCTATTTCCAACAGACCGCACTACCTCTAAGGATGCTTGCCATAGATGCAGGCGAAACGTCAGGAGAAATGCCTCTAGAACATGGCCCTATAGCCCGAAAAAACCCACAAGAACCTAACTCAGACATGTCTGATAGCAAAGGTATTCATCCCAGTATGTTTCCACTATTGGTGGTCATGCGAATAGCGACTGCATGCAGTAAAGTTATTGGACAGCTTCTCTGATGTATACTGCAAAGTTCACAGCTGATTCATTGCAACTTGACATGGAAAACACCAGTTGCTCTCATGCATGGCTGCTCGTGCTTTCATTTTGTGGAGTCATTCACGGCTCTGTGCTGGCCCCAAGTGGAGCAACTGAGAGCAGATGACGCATGTATCACCGTACTTATGGCATCTAGGCAATTCACTCATTCTACATCAACTTCATTGTAACTCTTGTCAAAAACAAATCAATGAACATGTATCCTAATGATGCAGGCATAAATCCCTGATCCATTTACATTTTGATCATTCTGTGTTGAAAAAAATACTGCTATTAATAAATGAACCTATAGATCAGTGGTTCTCAACCTTCCCAATGCAGCGACCCCTTAATACACTTCCTCATGTTGTGGTAAACTCCAACCATAACATTATTTTCATTGCTGCTTCATAACTGTAATTTTGCTGCTGTTATGGATTGTAATGTAAATATCTGATATACAGGATGTATTTTCATTCACTGGACCAAATTTGGCACAAATACCCAATACAGCTGAATTTGAATATTGGTGTGGGGGGGGGGGGGTTTGATTTTGTCATTTGGGAGTTGTAGTTGCTGGGATTTATAGTTCACCTACAATCAAAGAGCATTCTGAACTCCACCAATGATAGAATTGAATCAAACTGCACACAGAACTCCCATGACCAACAGAAAATACTGGATGGGTTTGATGGGCATTGACCTTGAGTTTTGGAGTTGTAGTTCACCTATATCCAGAGAGCACTGTGGACTCAAACAATGGTGGATCTGGACTAAACTTGGTACGGATACTCAATTTGCCCAAATCTGAACACTGGTGGAGTTTGAGAAAAATAGAACTTGACATTTGGGAGTTGTAGTTACTGGGATTTATAGTTCACCTACAATCAAAGAGCATTCTGAACTCCAAAAATGATAGATTTGAACCAAACTTCCCACACAGAACCCCCATCACCAACAGAAAATACTGTGTTTTCTGATGGTCTTTGGCAACCCCTTTGACACCCTCTCATGACCTCCACAAGGGTCCTGACCCCCAGGTTGAGAAATGATGCTATAGATAGTTGGTTATGAATCTTCCATATAATTATTTGTTTTCCACCTGGAAAACCAGCAGCTTACTGAAAAATAAAGGCAACAGCAGATGGAGGTGAAAGAAAGGGACTTGTGAAAGTAAAATATGAGAGATGAGGAGAAAGTCGGTCCTCTTGGCAATAGCTTCATGTTTGTCTCAAGATTTCATGCATTGAGAATTACAGATCGAAATAAAACACATTAAATTTATTGCTGTGAGAAAGAGTCAGTCGCCATCATGGACTCAAAACTAAACTATGGGGATGATCATAGGGTCTGGGGGTTGACATGCTGCCAGTTTGAAAAATGTAGTTTTAAACAAAAGTTTTAGAGCATTAGCTGGAATTCAGTGGCCCCTGGCTACATACAGAGTTGAAAGAGACCTTGTGAGCCATCCAGTCCAACCCCCTGCCAAGAAGCAGGAAAATCGCATTCAAAGCACCCCTGACACATGGCCATCCAGCCTCCAAAGAAGGAGCCTCCACCACACTTTGGGGCAGAGAGTTCCACTGCTGAACAGTTCTCACAGTTAGGAAGTTCTTTCTAATGTTCAGGTGGAATCTCTGTGTCGTAGGACGCATCCAGACAGTCCCTTTATTGTGAAGACTTCCATAATAAAAAGAGGGCTGTCCAGATGATCTTCTGGGCAACCCGCAATTAATTCACCACAATTCAGGAAAACCCTGGTTTGTGGTGAATTAATTAGATACTGCACCATCTTGTAAGGCACGGGATAAACACACTACTTATAAATTAGTCCATAAAACTGTGGGAACCCCACTCCCAAAGACCTAAAACCTCTTTTAAAAGTAAGGAAAATTTAAAAGGGTCCAGTAAAGTGTTGCCAGAGCTCTCCTGGCGCATAGAAATGACACATCAGGAGAGCGGGGTGGTGGAGAGGGGAGGAAAATCGCTCTCCCCCTCCCCCCACTTTCCTGGCGCATCATTTCTATGCACTGGCGCATCATTTCTATGCAACACTCTATTGGAGACCGGGTAAGTTTTCCTTACTTTAAAAGGGGGTTTTAGGGCTTTGGGGGAGGGGGGTTGAGTTTCTGGACACCCACCCCAGAAAGCGCATGCTCCTGTGATAAAAGGCTGTGTGGAAGTGTACCTAATCTTCAAATCACATTTAAGAGAAGGAAAGGCACCCCCCCCCCCCCCCCCCCCGGTTGAACAAATCCAGCCAAGAAAACTCTTAGATGGGTTTGTCTTAGGGTCACCCTATACTGGAAGAGACTTGAATACACAGGACAAAAACAGCAACAGATTTTTTTTGTATTCTACTTTTTATTTCATAAATTTCAGATCAATGAACTTCAAAATTTCAAGCAGCAATCTTCATGGATGACTTTAGGCTCAACTTCAGAGACAGAACCATTATGAAATCCATGAGAACATTTACCTATAATTTTAAAAAAGACAACATAACATGAAATAGTATATATTGAATCTAGTGCACTGTGCTGCCACGCGCCGGGCCTGTAATAATTGATTTTTTAAACAGAACGTGCTCTTTGTGCCCAGCGGGGAGCCAGGGTACCATGGGTGAGAGGCCTTCAAGGATTTTCCCATACACACTTTAAAGGGCTTGAAATGTTTAACAAAGTTCTTTCTTATTTCTTAGGTCTTCAATAAAACAACAAACACTTCTTGGATCTTCAACAGATTAAACAAATGCTTCTTAACTTGCCCCAAAATGGACAGGCACCTTGCTTGGAGAACTATTTCTTTCTTTAACAAGGAAAACCCTTTTTTAACCCCTCCCAGGCAATCTACTGTCTAAGCTTTGCTGATGTGGGTTCTACTACCGGTTCCAATCTGCGTCTTGGGTCCCAAGTAGACCTACCAGTCAAGGCTATGTAGATTCTCCAGCTGGAGTTCTTTGGGTCTGCAAAACTGTTTTCTTCCAAAACTTTAGGACTGTTTCCCTCAGATGCTGTAAAGCTGAGAGGCTGTAAGCTCCCAGCCAGAGCTTTGGGACTGTTTCCCCCCGGAATTTCTGCCCCGGATGCTGTAGGAAATGAAGCTTTTCTACAGATGGAGCTAATCCACATCCTGTAGCTTAGCTTTCCACTATAAGACTGAACTAAAAATGGCTCCCTCTCTTCCCATGGCCCTGGGGAAAGGGGCAGAACCAAAACTTAACAATGATAGACAGGCGGCTAGCCCTATGATTGCAAACCAAGGGAAGCCACCTTGTTGCACATGCATGAAACCTTGGAATACCGTATATTCCGGCATATAAGACGACTGGGCGTATAAGACGACCCCCAACTTTTCCAGTTAAAATATAGAGTTAAGACGACTCCCATGCATAAGACTACACCCGCGTATAAGACGACCCCTGACTTTTGAGAAGATTTTCTTGGGTTAAAAAGTAGTCTTATACGCCAGAATATACTGTATGCCCTAATCTCTATCCATGAAGCTGAAGCTCCTGGTACAGCCATACCAGCACATGCACCATTGAATGTAATGTGCTCCTCAATTTTCAAAACCCCCCCCCCCCCCCCACACACACACACATTTGCTGGCAAATGTCGCAGTGGCAAAAAGTGCACTCTTTGTAATTTGGTCAAAAAAATGGTGTTCATTACAGCTGCTGCATGCTTAAAATTACTTCTTTAAAAACCAAAGCATTAGGACACCAAACCTTCCAGCAACTGAAAGGAAAAACAGAGAAATAGGTAACTCTTCCCTCTAGGAGCCTCTCCTGTTTAGCTTGCCTCGTCTTCCTTGGGTGAATTTATGCTATAGGAAGAATGCAGCTTGATACAACTTTAATTGCCCTGGATCAATGCTATTGAATCCTGGGAGTTGTAGTTCTGTGAGCTAGTAGCTTCCTTCTCCACATCTTTTCCTTCTTTTCACCATGGCTGTTGTCTGGAAGTCTCATGGCATTTCAGCAGCAAATTCCCCTTTTTCCTTTAGCTGGGCACTTAAATTACCGTAATACTCCAAACGAATGTGCACCTTAATTTTGGCAATGTGTTTTAGCCAAAACAGATGTGCATTAGACTCAAGTAAATGCATTCCAAGGGAGACCTTGGAAACTGATCTCATTTGCTGGAAAAGATACATATAACTGGATGTGTGGTGTTTTTTTAAAATGTATGTATTTGCTTTGCTCATATTCCTTTATTCATCTTCTGCCCTTCCCACTCTTCTCTTTTCATTACCGGTACTTCTTTTTACCTTATTCAACCTCCTTTGCTAGAACTGCATGGAAGTTCCTTTGGTTATGCTGTAGTCCCATTTGCCACGTTCTTCACGTGATCTGATGAAATGCAGTGGCCTTTAAGTTGCACTACAAAAGAAAAACAAAAGAAGTAAAGCTGATGGAGTCAGTTGAGTATTTTACTACAGTCTCCTTATTCTAATTCTCATTGCTGCTTTTGTTTAGGAAGTCCAGAGACTGTGGATATCTGTTCTTCATTCTTACAATAGTTTAATGTCACTTTAACTATTATGGCTCATATTTAAACATTTTATAAATTATTTTGATGTTTTAAAAAGGAATGGGAGTGAGTGAATCTACTTGCACCTTTATTATGATTTGATTTATTTAATAATAATAATAATAATAATAATAATAATAATAATAATAATAGGTATTCAACCCTACACTGCCCAAATCTGCAGTCCCGAATGAGGAGTAGTTAGGTTAGGACCCTCCAGTGGTGCAGTGGGTTAAACCCCTGTGCCAGCAGGACTGAAAACTGACTGACAGGTCGCAGGTTCGAATCCGGGGAGAGGTGGATGAGCTCCCTCTATCAGCTCCAGCTCCTTATGCGGGGACATGAGAGAAGCCTCCCACAAGGATAATAAAACATCAAATCATCCGGGCGTCCCCTGGGCAACGTCCTTGCAGACGGACAATTCTCTCACACCAGAAGCGACTTGCAGTTTCTCAGGTCGCTGCTGATATGACCAAAAAGCTTAGAATAGACAGGTGCATGCCTTTAGCTTTTGACTTCTACTTTTATATTTTGGTGTGTGCTGCGTGTATTGAGATCTCTCCCTTCTTGTGTGTCAGGAGAGATGTGTGCTTGGAGATGTTTCTCTTTCTTTTGATCCCTAGAGAGATTGAGTTAGAGTAGCTCAGACCCAGTTATTTACTATTAACAAATGTAGTTATTATTTTTATAAATAAACCTTTAGTAATTATAAAGATTGAACTCTGGATCTTTGCTCCTAAGCTCTAAATTCTTTACAGCCACGTGGCACTGCTCAATTACAAGTATCCTGCTTTTGTATTTTGGATGCTCTGCTGTATTTTGGGTGTTTTCTCTAACAGAAAATCTTAATAATAATAATAATAATAATAATAATAATAATAATAATAATAATCCTTTATTTATAGGCTACCCTATCTACCCAGGGGGACTCGGGGCAGCTTCCAGGCAAAAAGGCAAATATTCAATGCCATTTTCCTACTTCCAACAGACCTCACTACCTCTGAGGATGCTTGCCATAGATGCAGGCGAAACGTCAGGAGAAAATGCCTCTAGAACATAGCCATATAGCCCGGAAAAACCTACAACAACCCAGTGATTCCGGCCATGAAAGCCTTCAACAATACATTCAATGCCATGATGTAAGCAAGACAAACACATAAGTCAAAAACAGTGCAAGGTAACATCATTATAAACTCATAAATTAGTAAGCAAGAAAATAAAATTAATAATTAAATAAGCATGATTATCTAAACAAACACATAAGCTCCATAAAACCAACAATATTTTAACCTGAGATTTTATGTATTTCAATATACTTCCTTAGATGCATTGAAAGACTCTAAGGAAATGGATCAAAATCACAAAACCTCAAGCTAGCTAGACCTGAAAGAGCTGCTGGATTTCTTCCTCCTCCTACCCCAATAACATGCCTATCTTTTTCAACATTGTTGCAGTTTAATGCTGAATAAATTCTTAGGATGTATCTGTAGAATTAATGCAGTTTGACACCACTTTAGCTGCCATGGCTCAATCCTATAGAACCATGGGATTGGCAATTTGGTGAGGCAGCAGTGCTCTTTGGCAGAGAGGGCTAAAGACCTTGTAAAATTACAACTTCCATGATGCCATAGCATTTGCCATGGCAGTTTAAAGTGGTTTCAGACTGCATTGACTATACAATGTAGATGCACAGTGTAGACACATCCAGCCCTCTTCTGACAATGTAGTGATTTGCAAGAGTCAACCACAGCAGCTGGCCAACACAAGGGCCTCACTGCCAAGAAAGCACCAACAAACGGCAACCAAAATAGCCCAGGTTGAGGTATTTATTGGCATTGTTACCAGGGTGTTTAAAAATACTCAATGACAACCTAAATCCTGCATCAGAGGCTGCAATTCATAACTTCACAGATTTGTAACTGTGTCCCTGGCAGGAGAAAGCATATTGTGGGGAGTCCTGCTTGGTGCCCTGCTGCTCAGTAGGAATCTCCATTGTGCAATGAGTACCATAGCATTCTAGTGTGCAGTATGCACACAGCGCTTCATGCAGTCATACCAGCCACATGACCTTGGAGGTGTCCACGAACGATGCTGGCTCCTTGGCTTAGAAATGAAGATGAACACCAACCCCTAGAGTCGGACACGACTGGACTTAATGTCAGGTGAAAGCCTTTACCTTTAACCTATGCACACTATGGGAGACATTCATGCAATAATTATGGCAAAATTATTTCTATAGTGGTGGGGAATTTTAGCTCACTTCTTTTTCTTGCATTTGACTGCTGAGTTGGCAGAAAATTGCACTGATGGACAGGTGCTATTGGCATGATCCGAGGTGCCTCTGTGTCGATATGGAAGGCATTCTGCTCTGTAGCATTGTAGAGTGGCCACTGTACCTCGCTGGGTTCAGATCCAGTGGGATTCCTATCAAAGGAAATTAAAAAACATACACATTTTTTAAAAGAAGCCAATGTAATTCTAGGCTGCATCAAGAGAAGTACAGTGTCTTGACTCAGGGGAGTAATCGTATAACTCTTTTCTGTTTTGGTCACAACTCACCTGGAATACTGTGTCCAGTTCTGGGCACCACAATTCAAAGACTGATCAAATAAGACTGACCAAAATAAGAAAAGGCCTGGAAGCCAAGCCCTGTAAGGAGCAGCTTAGGGAGCTGGGTATATTTAGCTTAGAAAAGAAAAGGATAAGAGAGGACCTGATAGTGATATCTCAAAGAATGACTCAAGGAAGTTTGTTTTCTGCTGCTTTAGAGACTAGGACATTTAACAATGTTGGGTTGGATGGGTTGTTGTAGGTTTTTCTGGGCTATATGGCCATGTTCTAGAGGCATTTTCTCCTGACGTTTCACCTGCATCTATGGCAAGCATCCTCAGAGGTAGTTGGATGGTAGTTGGAAGTTGGGTTGGATGACCGTGATCTCTTCTAACATTATGATTCTATGAAACTCAGAAAGGATGGAACCAGCCTGACTTCCCTTGTAAAGGAATTCCACAATTAGGCTAATGCTATGGGGAAAATCCCACCATACATGCCTACTAGCTTAATGCAATGGAGTGGGATAGGTACCATATATACTCGAGTATAAGCTGACCCAAATATAAGCTGAGGCACCTAATTTTACCACAAAAAATGGGAAACAGTATTGACTCGAATGTAAGCCGAGGGTGGGGAATGCAGAAGCTGTTACAGTAAGTCGTAACAGGATCAAGTATGTGTGTGTGTGTGTGTGTGTGTGTTAAAGAAAACCTTATACTGTTGATTATTATGTGCAGCTGCTAATGTAGGTCAACTAGTAAGTTTGGACCACACCCAGTGGGGTGTAATTGTATAGGTTTTAGAATACAGTTTAGCTTTTGCTCTGAGGAGCCTTTGCTCAGGCATTTTGTTCCACCTTTTCTACTGCTCTCTCATTTATAAAATAATAATAAAACTTTATTTGTACCCCACTACCATCTCCCCAAGACTCGGTGCGGCTTACATGAGGCCAAGCCCACAGCACATCAATAAACAAAAGCAATTGGATGAAGATAAAGAAGCCTTATTCTGTATTGCTTACAAGGACTATGTAAGTTTGTTGCACTGTTGATTTTTGCTTGCAACATTGCAAGCATATGTTTTAATTCTGTTGATAAGAGTAAAATTTTTCTGTTCTTTTTCCTCTTGCATGTGTGCAATGTTATTGTGTCTTTTTCATTGGATCTGACTGAAACAAGCTATGCGCAACAGAAGCTACTGGTCAAATTCAAAATAAAAATAGATACCAATCAAATTACATTAATTAAGGCATCAGTAAGTGAAATGTTTTTGAATATTTACATATAAAACTCTAATTTGGCCCAACTGATTAAATCTTCTTCAATGTAATGTACTTACATATCCTTCCAATAATAATAAAGAGAGTAAAATAATTAATGTATCTCTCTAACAGAGGTAGAGAAGAATGGGATACAAAAGTTCTAAATAAATAAATAAATAAATAATAGAGTAAAATAATGTAAATGTAATAATAACAGTAATAATAGAGTAAAATAATAAATGTAGCAATAACAATAATAAATGTAGAAATAACAAAAATAATAATAAATAATAAATAGCAATAATAAATGTAACAATAATAATTTGTTGTTGTTCATTCGTTCAGTCATTCACTCTTCGTGACCTCATGGACCAGCCCACGCCAGAGCTCCCTGTTGGCCGTCACCACCCCCAGCTTCTTCAAGGTCAGTCCAGTCACTTCAAGGATGCCATCCATCTATCTTGCCCTTGGTCGGTCCCTCTTCCTTTTTCCTTCCATTTTCCCCAGCATAATTGTCTTCTCTAAGCTTTCCTGCTTCCTCATGATGTGGCCAAAGTACTTCAATTTTGTCTCTAATAGCCTTCCCTCCAACAACAACAATAATAGAGTAAAATAATAAATAACCTTGACTCAAGTATAAGCCAAGGGGGACATTTTCAGCCTAAAAAAGGGCTGAAAAACTAGGCTTATACTTGAGCATATATAATCATAGGGTCTTCACTAGATATCATAAATGTGACAAGTATGTGGGATGTGAAGTGTGTCCAAAACACTGGGTTAAGGGACATATTACAGAAACAGTTCATGCCTTACCCACTTCTGGCAAACTCTGCCCAGTACCGCATCAACCTCCGGCTCAGTGCAGCATCAGCTTCTGTAATTGTGTCATTTTTCCCTAGTACGGCTGAAAAGGTCCCAAACAGGTAAGGCACTTCAACTCCATGCAGTGCACCCATCCACTCATACCAAAGGGAGCCAGAGACGCGGCGATTGAAAGAATAAACATAGACAGGACTTCCAGAGGTTTCCATTTTTGCAGTGACCTCAGCTAGTGGGCACAAAAAATAATAATCTCGGAATAAATGAGACAAAGCACTGAGGTACTGTCCTGGCCCATGTGTGTCTTCACTGTACTTCTTTGCTAAAGCTTTGACAATGCTATCTTCAACCTGCTGTTGGAGCATCATATTTATTGCTTGCAGAAGCTCCTCCCAGGTCAGTATTCCACCATTGTCAAGGATGTTATTATTCACAAATACGGTAAAGATGGACCCTTCATCTCTGGTGATGCCTAGGAGTAGTGGTTTGTCATGACTGAGCCCTGCCTCTTTAAGCTTTTCAATTTCTTCAGGAAGGAAGTCTCCATCTGAAGTGGGTCCGTGGAATTTCTCCAAAAAATAAAACTCACCCTCATCAGGATCTGCCTTCCGTAGGCAATTCACCACATTACGTAGACAGCTCTCTGTGTCACTATGATTTCCTTGTTCACATTTCAGAGCCTCAGACAACCTCATGGCTGCCCACATGGATTCATTAGGATGCCTCCAAGCCCAGGGGGCATTGGGAACTCCGCTCTGAATTACTGCATGGGTAAAGAGAGGTCGGCTTGCTGGTGATAGGAGATGGAAACCTACAGATGCTGCTCCAGCGCTATGTCCAAGGAGTGTCAAGTGAGCAGGATCACCCCCAAAGGCAGCTGCATTGTCCTTCACCCATTTCATGGCCAAATTCTGGTCCCACAGTCCCATGTTCCCTGGGGCTTCTGGTGGGAGGAAGAGAAAGCCCAGAACTCCAAGGCGGTAATTCATGGAAGCCACAATGACATTCTCAGCAGCAGCTAGAGCGGCTCCATTGTATAAGTCTAGAGAGCTGGCACCAGCAACAAAGCCCCCACCGTGGATCCAAAGAAGCACAGGAACTGGTGTGGAGGGCCGTGGGTGAGGGACCCAGATGTTGAGGAAAAGACAGTCCTCTGAGTGAGGCTTCTTGGCAACCCACATGTTCACAAACATCAAACCGAAAGGATCTCTTTGGTAGCAAGGGCTTCCATAGCTAGTGGCCTCCAAGACTTGACTCCATGGCTGATGGGGAAGGGGCTTCTGAAAACGCAATTTCCCCAATGGAGGCTCAGCGTAAGGAATGCCCAGGTAGGCTGTCACAGTCCCAGAATCGGTCAGGACTTTTTTCCCTTTAATGGGCCCACTGCTGGTGTTGACAAGGGTGTCATCCTCTTCAGAAGCAGAACTGGAAATGAGGAGGAAGAGGAAGATTGCAGGGAGAATAGTGGGCATTGCAGCTGCTGGAAGACATAACCAAGGAGTAGAAGAGACATTTTGATTCTGGTTTAACACACATACTTCAACTGGAATCCTATTTATTAATCCCAGTTTGAACAGACTCATTGAAAAGTATGTCAACCACATAAGTAAATCCCACCAATTCAAATTAGGACTACCAAAAAGATTTTTTTTAAATATAACATCTTGGCCATTAGCTGTAGAGGGCAGAGGAGAGATCTAGGCTAGACCTATTATGCTGTCATATAATGCAGTTTGAAAATAATATGGTCATTATATGGTTAGTGTAGACCCATATAATTCAAGTGAGCCTACACTGACCACATAATGCAATCTGGCATTGCATTATATGACAGTATAGATCCAGGCTTAGTCTTTCCCCCCTTTGCCTCCTCCATCTTGAATATCAGGGTATTGGGTCTTATGCTTCACCAGGGACCCCTGGTGGCACAGCGGTTTAAACCACTGGTATGCGGTTTAAACCACTGAGCTGCTGAACTTGCTGACCGAAAGGTTGCCAGTTCGAATGCAGGGAGCAGGGTGAGCTCCCACTGTTAGGCCCAGCTTCTGCCAACCTAACAGTTCGAAAACATGCAGATGTGAGTAGATCAATAGGTACCACTTCAGCGGGAAGGTAACAGCACTCCATACAGTCATGCTGGCCACATGACCTTGAATGTGTCTACGGACAACGCCAGCTCTTCAGTTTAGAAATGGAGATGAACACCATCTCCCAGAGTCAGACACGGCTAGACTTAATGTCAGGGGAAATCTTTACCTTTACCTTACTTCATTTATGGAGATCTGGGAATTAGTATGGAACACACAACCCAGCTATGGGACTGAGGAAGGAGTACGGGCATTTTAGGGTGCAATTTCTAGTATATCAAGAAATGTAAACCACTTGTACCAAGCCCACTGGGCACTTCTTCAGGAACAATTACTGATCCATGACTAAACCAAACACATGTTCGTCTTATTCTGTGTTACCTGCATTAAGGAAAGTCAGAGTGTTCCATCTCCCAGGATCCTGGTTTGCCTTACCTCTCAGCTGCTTAAGGTTGCTTCCCTTTGCATTTTTCCCGGGGTTGCTGCAGTTTTGCAAAAGTCCTAAAGGATAATAGTATCAGAGTCTGCAAAGCCAGTCTGCAGGCCTCCTTTGGAGTTATTGGCCCAGAGAGCAGCTTTTGAGCCCGCCCCTTCTACCAGGCCAGACCTCCATTTTGGAGTCCTCCCTGCGCTTGTTGGTTTTGAGGAAAGATTTCAGACGTGCTGATGGCTAAGCAGTTAGCTCTGGGAAAACCATTGCAAAAACTATTCTTTAGATAAGTATTAAGCTAAACTATTGAGATAATATAGATAGTATATTGTGTTTTGAGCTGTTTTTGAGGTATTATAGACAGATAAGCTTAGTTGAGAAGATTGAGCTATATAGTTATAGAGAGAGAGTCGTAACTGCTTTGTCTCCAGGACTGACCTTAAGTTATAGGCAGGGAAAAAGCCAGCCTTTTTCTAAACCACAACAGCTTTAGGTTAGGGTGTTAAGATTCCAGAATCTTATCAGCCATCTGGAGAAAGGGTTACCTCTGTAACTATAGAAAAGAAAGAATATTTTTGTAGCTTCGTCTATTGACTGTTTGTTTGCAACTGTATGAACTGTGCCAAGTCTTCAAGGACTTTGAACAAATAAATATCCTTTTTTTTTGATGTTTAAAGCCAGTAATAGTCTCAGTTCCTGAGTATCTCAGGCTTCTCAATATAGACACTTGCAGTTTGCTCAGGCATAGAGAGAAGCACGTCACAGTTTTATTTTTTATATCGTCTGGGCGGACGGCACACAGAGGCTGATCTTGAGTTTGGGTAATCTCCCCTCCTCCTTCCTGGTTGCATGTGTTAAAGTCAGTATGGGGTGCAAGCAATGGCAAGAGATCTCATGAATCACTGCAGAGACAGCAATAGGGATGGTAAGGTGACAATCCTGCAGGGCCAAACCAAAGTCCGCCTGGCTGGGTTGACAGGATTTTGCCCTGCCACAAACAAGGGACAGTTTGTGTGGACACCTCAGAGATCAGTCCAGATATGCCATTAGAGAGGTAACCTCTCAAGTAAAAAAGTGGGATTTATTATTTGCAGTTTTTCTACTTCTGCAGAAATTCTGCACCCCACCCCAACCCCTGAAAGTGGATGATTTACTGTGTTTATTCATTCACTGAACCATTTCTAGCTTGTCTTATATCCGTTGTGAGAATGGATTTGCATATATAGTTGCTGATCTGACTTGGTGCCCAGATATGGGGGTAGTGGGCTTTTGTTCTTTGTGGTTACTGATCCAAATTATGGTATGCTCCTACTACTAACATAGGGATCACCTTTTTCCCAATGTGAATGGCTGGCAAGGGGGACATGTTCCAAACTGCAACCACAGTATGGATTATAATGGATTAAAGACTACTTTAGTTGCAATTTTCTTTTAAGAAAATTTATCCAACTGCTGTAGGTTTTTTTTGTCCAGGCCTCAATGCCTTATATTTCAACCCCCAAGGAAAAGTTTTTCAGCACCAGACAACACAGGAAATCCCACTCATTCAGGGATGCATAGAGCAGTAGTGTTGATCATGACAACACTGCATGATTCATGTATCTTCGTCCAACTGCTGAAATTTCTCCTTCTCATCATTATTAAAGAGACAGGAGATCTGTCATTTATTTCACTGAAAAACCCTGTGTTCAGAGATATCCCTTTATCATTTCAAACTCGCCATAACAGTCTCCATAAGATGTGTGTAGGTCAAGAGTACATAAATTCCAAATGTTTGGGGGGTGCACACACCTCCACCTCATTGTGGGCTTTTATTTTTAAATATTGCCAGCCTGCCAAAGATCTCTGAGCCAAACAACAATGATTTGAAATAATTTCAGGTATTCTAAAAGCATTGTAAACTGTCCAAAACAATTTAAAGCATCATACATAATAAAGAAATGTTTAAACTCCATAAAGTGATCAAAATCCGGAGATGTTTCCTGTCGTAGAAGGAATTCCTACAAGTGTTGCTTGTTTGGCTTGGGGAGTAGCAATGCCGATAGGAATTCATGCCAAGTTATCTATAAAGGTGTGTGTAGGTCAAGAGTATATACATTCCAAATGTTTTGGGGTGTGTGCACACTTCCACCTCAAGATGGTCCTTTATCTTGCCAGCCTGCCAAAGATCGCTGAGCCAAACAACAATTTGAAAAAATTCCAGATATTCTAAAAACAATGCAAAATGTCCAAAACAATGTAATGCACTGTACACAATAAGACTCCGTGAAATGATTAAAAACTGGAGGGCTTTCTTATCGTAGAAGGAATTCCTACAAGTGTTGCTTGTTTGGTTTGGTAAGTAGCAATGCCTGCTGAAATTCATGGCATTAAAACTACATTCTGGAAATCCTAGAGCTAGAGTAACCATTCCAAAACAGTTGGAATACAAGACAAGCAATACACATGTATATATGCCCAAGCATGTCTACCATATTTCACCCCGAAGGGGACTCAAAGTGGAAGATCGTCTCCCCCAAGTCTCTGCATAACACATTCCTCCCATGGTGAGAATGCAGAGAAGAGTTATTACAGCGGATGATAGTACTTGGATATGTATATATAGCCCCCATCTACACTGCCATATAATACAAATTGAAATTGCATTATATGGCAGTGTAGATGAACCTATAGAGATTGGTGCTCCTCCAAATATCCAGTTTTGAACAGCCAGTGCAATTCCTTTAGCACCAGCACTGTGAAGTCCATACGATGCCAGGATGAGAATAGTGTTTCTACCAGAAAGTGTTGCATTGCAGCTCATAGCATTTTTCACCCTTGGCTAGGATTGCTGCAGACTGCTGTCCAATTACATATTTGAAGACCATGATAAGCCCCAACCTTGCTGTAAGCAGCGATAGCCCTTCTACATCTGATGGACTCACCTCCCTGAGGATTTGATTATCTTGCTAGTCCTTGGTGTCTCCTGTAGCTCAATCCAAATAGAAAACTTGGATGGAGAGGCTTCAGCAGCAGGGCTTTTAAAGTCTTGCAACTAATACCCAGGGAGAAGGCAGCTCATCTACATGTATGTTTACAAAGAGCAATGACCATTTGGTCTCAGCCTGCTGTGTGGAAGTTTGGGTAAAAGGACATTGTGTAAAGAGACATTGTGTAAATGGTAGTTCGAGGAAAAGAGGGCAGTGGTTACTGAACATTTCCCACCTTTCAGCCAGAGTATCCTTGAACAGCATAAAAACAAGACTCTGGGCCCATCCACACAGCTCCTAAACACAGCATTTACCAGGTTAAAAGGGGAGAGTGTGGCTATATGATGCTACCTGTAATTCTGTGCTGACTTGCTGCAAAAAAAAAAAATCAGGGTAGAACGGTCCCCTTTTATCCTGATTCCATCTGGAAAATGGTCTTTAGCCTTCTCTGCTAAAGAGTGCTGGTATCTTTCCAATCTACAAATTCTAGGATTCGACTGAGTCATGGCAATTAAAGTGGTATTAAACTGCATTAATTTGATTATGTAGGTGCACCCTAAGTCATATGTCTTCTCATATGTGGACTCTTCAAATTATCTGCAGGCATGGAGGTGTGTGGGTGTTTACATACACATTTACCTCACCAAGGTCACTATTTGTGTGCAGGACCCCAAGTTATTTTGCAATGTATGTTATGTAGGGTTCAAAGTCTGCCCCAGCAATCATTGCTGCCTTGTTGACAATGTTTTAGTTGTTATACAATATTATTTTGCGTTTCATGAAAAGAGAAAGAAAAATCAGGAATCGGGAAGCAGTAAACATGCTTTTTTGATGTAGTTTTCTCTGTAGTATTCTTCACTCAGTATGGAGACAGTTCTACCTTTAACACAAACAATTATAGATATTTTTGATCTCCAAAACAAAGGCTTAAAGCTGTTATGCCTTCCTTGCTCTCAATGTTCATAGATATTGTGACAGGTGACATTTATTTTTAAAAAATAATGTCACCAGCTACAGAAGTGGGAATTGAAGAGATTTCAGCTAGAACCATGGAAAAGAAGGTCCAGGCCCAGTGGGCTTCTGATAAGCCAGATCAGCCAGGAGAGAGAACAAACAAAATTGACGCTTCTCATTTTGGTTTGCATAGTAATTCATAGTATAATAATAATAATAATAATAATCTTTTGTACCACATTTTAATTCAATTTGTCTAGAAAAGACCTCCCACATCTTCCAGAGCCTGTGAAGTTTAAGTTCTCTGGCCTCCTTTAAGAGAAGGAGGTAACTTTTTTCACAAGCAGAAGTGGCATCATTTCCCTTCTTGTTTAAGAAAAGAAAAAATGAACTGAAATTGCCCAGTACAGATCCTAGTTAGTATAGAATAAATCAATTTCATAAGCAATACAAGAGATACAGGTATGGGGCAGGCAGCATATTTTACCCATCACCATTCCATGGTATAAAACTAGATAAGCAATTTTTCTTGTAAATCAACATGAAGTATGGTCAGGGATAACATTGGAGGCTTTGGATCTCACAACACTCAAAGACCTCAGGCTCAAGGCTCTCTTCACATTACCCTATATATTCATGTATAAGTATAGATATGTTTGTAAAAAAAATCACCCCACCCCACTCTGAATTTGGTTGACTTATCCTCAGATCAATGTGAGTACTGGACTAATTCTTACCAGAAAGGAGCCATCCCTTTCTCTGATCACAATAGTGAAAGGTAAGAGTTTTAAACTATTCTGGGAGGACCTAAAATATGCAGTGACCCCTCTACTTTCTCTCATGTGGCACATCTTCTGGCCTTTTTGAAAGTCTGGATAGAGAAATTGTGAAGACAACCAGAAGTAGCTGGATTCCTAAGATAGAGTTAGTAAGCCCTTAGCCATGTAATGAAAATCAACATGTCCACAGAGCTTATCAAGATTCATAATATTGAATCCCAAAATTGCCTTGATTTATATATGAAGTCAACTTTTGTATTATACAGTGTATCAATAGCTGTTTGCAAAGAAGACTTGTTTATACAAGAGCACAAATGTATCACAATTGACATCTGTGGAACACAGTGGCCTACTAATGTTCTGAAGTGTGCAAGAGGCAAGCGGATACATAATTCATGTCTAGGGACTTGAGTAATGGATTCAAATCGCAGTAAAGGAGATTCTAGCTAAACATCAGGAAGAACTTTCTGATGGTAAGAGATGTTCAACAGTGGAATATGCTTCTTGAGAGTATGATGGACTCTCCTTCTCTGGAGGTTTATAAGCAGGGAGTGGATAACCATCTATAGGGAGTGCTTTGGTAGTGTGTTCCTGCATGGCAAGGGGTTGGACTGTGTTCTGCCATGCACTGGGCCTGTAATAATTGTCTTTGAAATAGGACATGTACCTTGTGCCCAGTGGGAAGCCAGGGCGCCACAAAAGAGGCCCTCAAGGATTTTCCTGAAGAAATGGTCTTTAGATAGCTTGAAAGGTTAAACAAAGTCCTTTATTATTGAACAAATTAAACAGATATTTTTCAAATCTTCAATGAGTCAAACAAATGCTTCAAGGCTTTAAATCAACTGGTGGATTGCTTAATCTTGTCCACAAGGGACAGGCAACTGTCTTCATTAATTGTTCTTATACTTTGAGAGGAAAACCCCTTTTTAACCTCTCCCAGACTGTCTGTTATCTATGTTTTCTTGGTGTGGGATCTACTACCGATTCCAAACTGCATCTTGGTACCGAGTAAACCTACCAGACAAAGCTTGTAGATTCTCCCGCTGGAGTTCTTTGGGTCTGTAAAGCTGTTTTTCCTCTGGAATTTCTTTAAGACTTTAGGACTGTTTCCTTCAGATGCTTGTAAGGCTGAGAGGCTGCAAGCTCCCAGCCAGAGCTTTGGGAATTTCCCCCTGGAATGTCTTGAGAAATGAAGCTTTACTGCAGGTGAAGCTTGTCTACGTCCTCTAACTTAGCTTTCCTCACTAAGACTAACTGAAAATGGCCCCCTCTTTCCTTCCCATCTCCCTAGGAGAAGGGGCAGATCCAAACTTAACAATGATAGACAGGTGGCTTGCCTTATGACTGCAAACCAAAAGGAAGCCACCCTGAAACTTTGGAATGCATGCAAACACTTAATAGAAAGAAAATAAAATTGGAGCTCCTGGTACAGATGTACCAGCACAGACTGGATGTTCCTTCTGATATCTTTCAACTATAGGATTGTATTATTTCACATGGTGCCACTTCTCTGTCTGCTGACCCCTCCCCATCATCTCTCTCCTGGGTTCATTCTGATCATGAGGGAAAAGGGACAACTTCTTTCCATTTGCACCAAGGACCTACGTTAAAGGCCAAGATACGGTATTAAGTATATTAATTCTGAAAGTTAGACAATGAAAGAAAAATAGATAAACCCAGTAATCTCATACGCACATCAAAGGTAGACTAGAATATTTGCAGGGGTAAAATATTTAAAATGCTTTTATTGAGATTCAAAGTATTGAAACACCATAGAGAAACGTATGACACATTCTATAAGCTATTCAATGAAGATCCAATCATATTTAATTCACATTCAAGATGGCCTAGAGCCTCTGCACATTCTTGTAATTAATATTAATATTTTCTTAAAAGCTGACTGAAAAATTATTCAGTTATTTCTGGAATGTAATGCATTTGCCAACGTAGCATAATAGTTTGAGCATTGAACTACCACTGTGAAGACCAGGGTGCAATTCCCAGCTCAGCAATGAGTGCCTATGGGTAAGTTACACATACTCAACCCCAGAAACCCAAGTAATAGGTTTGCCTTAGGGTCGCCATAAGTCCAAAACAACTTGAAGGCACACAACAACACATTTCTTCCATTTGGTTGTTCTCCACTGACTGGCTGTAAGACTACATATTGATTTCAGTGCTTAGGCAAATAGCATGGGGCAGCGATCAAGATATGATACTATTGTTTTGCAAATTTTCAGCATCTGATTTGAGATATTGCTCAACTATATAGTGAGAGGTAAAGTCCAGACCTATTTATCTGGACTTTAATCCACAGCATAATTGTTGTGCACTAGTTGACCCATGGAGCTCCCGGCTCCCATCTCATGATGCAAAGGAACTTCCAGTGTGGCTCCGTAGGACAATTAATACAGAATTGGCATATGCCACCATGACAACAATATGGGAGGCTTCCCATGTTGCACTAGAACGCATAGGGGGAAGCTATGCAGTCGATGGGACTGGCTTAAGAGTAAGCCAGGCAATGTGGGACATGGGAGAATAGGTTTCCCACACCTCACTATAGCACTCACTGGATTCGCCACAATGTATGGCAATGCAGGTGGCCTGTGTGAAGAGGTCAACTATCTCACTCTATTACTACTGCCTATTCTTTTAGCAGTCTTTTATTTAGTACTAGCCATCCCCTGCCACACGTTGTGGTGGCCCAGTCTGTGTATATGTGTTTCATGTGTGTATATATGTGTATATGTGTGTGTGCATTTGTGTATATGTGTGTTTGTGTATATATGTGGCTTTGCGCATGCGTTGTAATGTGTGTGGTTTTATTTTTGGCTTTAAAGTCTCCTTCGCTGTGTTTTTCAGTGTTTTATGAGTGATGGTCACTCATTGGCCTGATAGGTGTCTTGTGTCCAAATTTGGTGTCAATTCCCCCAGTGGTTTTTGAGTTATGTTAATCCCACGGACAAACATTACATTTTTATTTATATAGAATTGACTATTGATCAGAGAAATTAGTCAGTTGGACATTTAGAAAGATCTTTGTCACCATTCCTAACACGTGAAGAGTCACAGGTATCCAGGTTTTCCTCATGACTTTTTATGACAGTCCCTGCTAGTGAAGAGTGGTCTTCTCCATCATCTTCTTCTGATTTCTCTGCAAAAGAAATGGGGGATTTCTCTGCAAAAGAAAAGAATGGAGATTAATGACAACTTCTCTGAGCTTGGCTAAATAACTAAGAAGACTTTGAATGGAAGAGGAATCTGAAAGACTGCATAGATTCAGGAAAATAAGGGCATCTCTAAGCAATACGTCCCCAAGTAATTGTAAGAAAGCTTCCTTCTTGCCACAGGTGCTGCGGTGTTGTGTTACCACCTTCCTTCGTGCACATTACAAAAGTATGATATCTCAGTAGGGAAAAAGTTCTTATCCCAAATTAATGCTGGGTTTTCTAGATTATCTGAAGAAAACCAATGCTACAATACAGGACTAGTGGACTATCTAAGCTATGATATTCAGTTGGCTACTTCAATCTTTAAACAATATGCCTTATCCCTTTTACGGGGAAGGAAGGCTGACATGGTAGCAGAACCCACAACGAACATTGTGAGTTGGATGAGCTTCTTGTATAGTAATCACCTGAGTGACCTACAGGAATTCACAATTCACAGCATTTCGCAAGCATATCAATAATTATTAGTTCCTATTAATTATTGAATATAAGGTAAAAGGTAAAGGTTGTCCCCTGACATTAAGTCCAGTTGTGTCCAACTCTGGGGTGTGGTGCTCATCTCCATTTCTAAGCCAAAGAGCCAGCGTTGTCCGCAGACATCTCCAAGGTCATGTGGCCAGCATGACTGCATGGAACGCCGTTACCTTCCTGCCAGAGCGGGACCTATTGATCTACTCACATTTGCATGTTTTCGAACTACTAGGTTGGCAGAAGTTGGGGCTGACAGCCGGAAGCTCACACCGCTCCCCGGAATCGAACCTGCGACCTTTCAGTCAACAAGCTCAGCAGCTCAGCACTTTAACCCACTGCGCCACTGGGGGCTCCAACTATTGAATATACATTGAATTAATTAATAATACTGAGCAGGAAGCTTCCAAATTTCACTTCCCATTATAGAGAAATAAACCAAAATTATTATTATTTATTATTTACAGTATTTATATTCTGCCCTTCTCACCTCGAAGGGAACTCAGAGCAGATCACAGAAAACATATACGGCAAACATTCAATGCTGATTATACAATGACAAGACAGACAACATAGATAAAGGTATATATACAACTTTCCCATCTTTGGCATCTTGGAGGCTGTGCTTGGTTCCACCCAGTGGGGTGGGGGTTGGGGTGCTGTCGGTCCATCTTGCGTAATCTCCTTCCTACACCCACAGCAAAGCCTATCTCTATTAGTCTATCATCTATCTATACCTTCCGTCCCTATGATTCTATAGCACTGAGCCATGGCAGTTAAAAAGATACATTCATTCTAGAGTGCAGATGCATCCCAAATCAGTGGCATAGATGGTGACAGGATTCAGGAATCTCCTCCCCTACTCATGAACATGAGACAGGCTAACACATATTACAATAAGATTAAAGAGGTAGATGATTCAATACAAACTGAGCTTATTAGAAACACCAATGGCAAGGCCCACAGAGGTATGCCACATAAGATGAAAAGTTAGACTCACTTGGATTTGAAGTGTGTTTTTTAAAAAGATTGCAGTGTCGAGCAGGTGATACCGGTAGAACCTGGGCTGGCTCAGTGCTAAGATGGTAGAAGTTCTGCAGCGTAGCATTATAAAGTGGCCACTCCACTTCTTGCTTCTCTGATCCTGTGGGTTTGCTATAGAGAAAATAACAATACATTTATAACCAGCAGGCCGTGGTGTTGCATGTAAACTCTGGAAGAAATTATACAAGAGATTACAAAGTTTGGAGGTTCCTTTAGCTTTGAACAACATGGAGTGCATAACTGAAGTCAATATAAATATTCTGGATGTAAACAAAACATGGGGCGGGGGGGGGGGGGGATCAAGCTATTTTTCTCTTCCTCTGATAACCCAATGCAATCTGGTTGCCTACTATGATAGCAATGTAGAACATAGAAAAGATTTGCCTTTGGCATGATCCAATTGACTTCTAGTTATGTTCTCACTAATAACATACCCTCCTGTTTACTCCTCCGTCATTGCACTTTTTCAGATGTTTTTAAAAAAGCCCCAGTTTTTCTCTCTTCCTCTCACTACCACCATTTGTTCTCAGCTTACTTCAACTGCTGTAAATTGAATTCAAAATGCAGGAGGCAAACATGATAGGTTGGTAATAATAATAATCATCATCATAATCATCATCTTTATTTATACCTCACCACCATCTCCCCAATGGGGACTCAGGATAGGTAACATGAGGCCGAGCCCAAAAATAATACAACACAATAATATACAAAACAATAGAAAATTAAACACAACAAAATATATAATGCAGCAAAATAAAATAAACAATACAAAATAACATAGTAAAATCCACCACAAAGGGCGGGCCAAATGTGCAAGATAAAATGTTAAAAACGTTAAAACCCTGGGTGAGATAGGAAGTAGGAAAAACGTATTTATAAAGGAGGAGCCCGAGACAGGGTAGCAGTGACAGGTTTTGGGCTTCATTAGGGGTAGGGGAAAGTGTGTTGTATAAACAAACTGTAGATGGAAACTAACTGTAGATGGAAACTAACTGTAGATGGAAACTAACAAAAATGGGTTGGATGGTAAAAGCAAGTTTCTGCAGCAGCTTCCAACTTGTGTGCTTTTCCTCCTGAATAACTTTTGACACCTTGACCGCATTCTGAAACATTGGAGAGCATATAATGAATGTATCCAGCTCTTACCGTCAGGAAGTTCTTCCTAAGATTTAGATAGACTCTCTTTTCCTGCTATTTGAATCTACTGCTCCATGTCCAATCTCAAGAGCAGGGTAAAGCAAGCTTGTCCCCTCTTTAATATCATGTCTTCTCAAATATTCAAAGATGGCTTTTATGCCCCTACTCAGTTTTGATTTCTCCAAGTTAAACCTTCACAGCTCCCTAATCTTTACATGTGATAATCCTCTGATTTGGATCTAGAAATGCTTTACTACCATCAGGCTCTGTCTGCATGCAAATAGGACTTTTCTACAGGTCCTTGCATGAAACAACCCCTACTATCACTATTGTCATTATCATCATCATAAATCATCTTGAACTCTACTTCCCAGCAATTCAAACCAATCATGATGAATAGGAATTGCAATTCAACATCCTCTAGGGAACTGCATAGTTCTCATCCCCATAAATAAATGTGGGTGATAACCTGCAACAGATGGAGTCCACAAAAAGCTGTTAAATACAACTTGAGTTTCCCTTATTTAGATGGAAGCCTTTTGAAGTCATATCTTTTCAGATTTTGGAATAACTGCATTTAAAAACTAATTTTGAGCATGAAGCAAAGTTTGTGTGCACTGAATCATCATCCAATGTGAACAATTTTAGCTTACGGAGTATTTCTGATTTTGGAATTCCAGATAAGGGATGGACAACCTGCCACTTAAAATTCTGTTTTTTAAGGTACTTTCTGCAGGAAATAATACCAAAGAAGAAAATAATGTGAATTCTGCTACTCAGATTGGATAATGCAGAGGAGAATGAGAAAGTCAAATGTCTTACCCAGTTCTGGCGAACTCCGCCCAATATCGCATTATCCTACGGCTGAGCGCTGCCTCGGCCTCTGTGTACGTTTTGTTGGCCTCCAAAGCTGCCTTAAAACTTCCAAACACATAAATGATTTCAGCTCCATGGGTTGCATTTGCCCACTCAGGCCAGACAGTGCCAGAAGTATGATGTGTAAAATAGTAAACATACGAAGGACCCCCAGCTTTTCTGATCTGGGCAGCAAATTCAGTTGCAGGGCACACAAATAAATAATCACCCAAGGATTGCACCAAGGCCGAACGGTACTTCGCTGGGCCATGGCTCTCTTCACTGTATTTCAGGGCCACAGCCTGAATTTCTTTTTCAGTTGCATTTTGCAATGCCCTTCTTAATACTTCTAGAAATTGTTCACGGTTGATTAGGCTATGATTGCTTCCAGGAAAAATTAAAGTCAACAAGGAAGCTGCTTCGTCTGAGTTGACACCAGTGATAATTGGTTTGATCTGCACATGCTGAGAGTCTAAAAGTCTCTGAGGATCATCAGTCAGAAATTCCCCATCTGTTGTTGGTACGAAGGGGAGGCTCATAAGAAACTTACTTTTCAGAACCAACAATGTTTCATATGGAGGAAATTCCATTGCATTTTTTCCCTGAAGACAGCTCACAATTTCATTTGCATTGCCTTCTCCACATCCCAGCAGCTGGCTAAGCTCAAGGGATTTATTCTTGACGGTCTCAGGACTTGCCCATGCCCAGATAGCATTGGGAGCTCCACTCTCAAGCACAGCTTGGGCAAAAAGGGGCTCACTTTTAGGTGAAAGCAGATGGAAGCCAACAGAGGCTCCTCCAGCACTCTCACCAAAAATCGTCACCCACTTTGGATCTCCACCAAAGGCAGCTGCATTCTCCTTGATCCAGGTCAGGGCCAGGTGTTGGTCCCACAGACCCATGTTTCCTGGGACTGCTGGTGGCAAAGAAAGGAAACCCAAAGCCCCAATGCGGTAATTCATGGAGGCCACAATGACATTCTCAGTCACAGCTAAGGAAGACCCGTTGTACAAGTCGAGGGAACTTGTACCTGCAATAAAGCCCCCTCCATGTATCCAGACAAGGATGGGAACTGGTACAGAGGGCTTTGGACGAGGCACCCAGATGTTGAGAAAGAGACAATCTTCTGACAGAGGCCTATTGGGATTCACCATTTTGGCCTCAGGTGTTTGAGAAAGAACTGACTGAGGACAGGCATTGCCAAAGTCGGTGGCCTCGAAGGTTTGACTCCAGGGCTGATGTGGAAGAGGCTTCTGGAATCGCAGTTTCCCCAAGGGGGGCTCAGCATAGGGGATGCCAAGATAAGCTCTCACTGAACCAGAGCCTACGGTGAGAGTTTTGCCCTTGACAGGGCCACTGCTGGTGTTCACCACAAGGTCATCTTTGGAAACAGCATTGGAGGCCAGTGTAAGCAGGATGAAGAGGGAGCATGATATGGAAGAGGCAAGACTAAGCATTGCAGTCACTGGAAGGAAAAAGTCCCAAGTGAGTTAACAGCAAATACAAAGGAGGCCCTCCTCCATTTTAACTCAATGGCTGGTTATATTACGTTCATGTCAACAACTCCAATATATTCATACTTAAAAAAATAAGCTCTGCTTAATGGCACACTGCTCAAGCCATAGAAGGATGTTTCTATCCTTGAGCTCTGAGCACCTTGGTAATATGCTCTGGTCATATATTCTAGTCCATAGTTGCATAGTATGTAGACTGTTGCATTGAATATTCATTTAAATATCCATGCAAGGATCTCTTGTTTTCTGGAGTTGGTATATAGATGCAGGAAGTGAAGAAAAAGAAACAACAGGAGGAAGCAAAAGATGTTAACCTGCTGAAGCCCACTAATAACTATAAAACAAGAATTACAAAGGAAATTGGGATTTACCTGCTTATTCCCACAAAGAGCTTGTTGGTTAATAGTCTTGCTCGCAAGATTGTAGCCAATTCTCACTCTTCTGAACATTTCCCCCTTTATATAGTATTACCACATCAATATTTCTCATAACTGGTAAACACCACGCCGTGTCCTTGAGTTCAGATAGATTTTTTATCATTCTGAGGAAGGAAATGCAGCTTTATTGCAGTTTAACTGTCATAATTGACCTTCCCTAAAGGCATTTTGGGGGTTATATTTTGCTGAGCTTGCAGAAATAATGTGTAAGTAATTTCTACCACCACAGTAACACATACAGTAATATTAATAATAATAATCGGCGTTGACAAAATTACCATGTCAGATGCAAAAGACACCCTACTCGGATCTGCACGCATTATTTGCCGATACATCACACAATCCTAGTCACTTGGGAAGTGTCTGATGTGTGATCCAATATCTTCACAGCATAGTGATCTTGTTTGCTGTGTACTAATCTTGTGTTTCCTCCTCCTCCTCCTCCTCCTCCTCCTCCTCTTCTTCTTCTTCTTCTTATTATTATTATCACAACAAAATTACAATGCAAGGATCTGGTGTGCCGATCACCAATACCCAGTGTGCCGATCACCACTGGGACCACTTTAACTGGCTTGTGCAAGAGTCTTTACAGTTCAATCTTTAAATCCTTGTCTCATGTCAGTTTCAAATAATAATAATAATAATAATAATAATAATAATAATAATAATAATAACAACAACAACAACAACAACAATAATAACAACTTTATTTTTGCACCTCGCCTCCATCTCCCCGAAGGGACAAGGGGCAGCTTACATATGGCACAATGTGCCTAAAACAACACATAAAGATACACAATACAATACAAAATAAACCCAAGGCAAATAAAACAAAGTTTAAGCTCAAACCAGCACAACAATACATAAAAAAACACAATACAATACAAAATAAAACCAAAGGCAAATGAAACAAAGTTTAAGCTCAAAAAAGCACCCCATAACTTATGATGAGAACTGTTGAAAACATAGTCAACTATAAACAAGAACAGGGAATAAGATTTTTAGCTAATGAACTAGGGCATGGGGCGAAAGTGCTGTGCTGTGGCATTAAATTGCTGACCATTGAGACTAGACATTCTCAAAGGCTTGTCCAAACACCCAAGGTCTTCAATTCCTTCCAGAAGGAAGACAGTATGGGTACCTGCCTAATCTCCCCTAGGGAGGGTGTTCCAAAGCCAGGGGGGCACCACAAAGAAGGCCCTGTGGTTCAGTTCTAGTGGACCCTGTGGTTTAGTTCCAGCATCCCCAGTGGGTACCAAAAAGGCAATGACTGGAACATGGATGGTTCAGTATGTCTCCATTCATGTCACCACCATTTTGTAATATGGGATATGACAATCCAAGATCGATTCAATTCATAGATCTAGTGTGTATGGTGGACAGATCTAGAATGTCCACCATATACACATGGGAGGAGAATGATTCTCTGGGAAGGAGTAATGAATTTCCATCAACACAATTTACTTTCATAGAGAGCCATCTTATGTAATACCCGGGTTAAGTAATCTGTAACGCTATGCATTGAAAAAGTTGTTGTTTGTTTTCGGATGTTATGCATGGCCCCATTAGGATGATGATTTGAACTGGTAAACCATTTTAATGTATATTTATTACTGTTTTAATTTATGCTAATTGTATTTTATGTTATGTTATTATATGGTGTTGGCACTGAATAGTAGCCATCCTGAGTCCCTCTTCAGAGGTTGAGAAGGACGAGATAGACATGTTCCAAATGAATAAAATAAATAAATAATAAATTAAACATAAGGATATGGGTAAACCACCACTGCTATCATCCCAGGTCCATCCCCCTGCACCACTGCCAACAATTAAAGTTGGTCATGAGAGCCGTTCAGCAGTGGAACTCTCTGCCCTGAAGTGTGGTGGAGGCTCCTTCTTTGGAAGCTTTTAAACAGAGGCTGGGTGGGATGATTTGAATGCAATATTCCTGCTTCTTGGCAGGGGGTTGGACTGGATGGCCCATGAGGTCTCTTCCAACTCTTTGATTCTATGATTCTATGATGAGTATGTGTGCCAAGTTTGCTCCGGATCCATCACTGGTATCTGGATGTGGCTGAACTGCAACTCCCATTGTCCTGGTCCATCCCCCCTGCCAACCCCAGATGTATTTAGGGTTGGTCATGATGGGTGTGTGCGTCAAGTTTGGTCCAGATACATTGTCAGTTGGGTTCATAGAGATCTCTGGATGTGGGTGAACTGTAATTCCCATCATCCATGGTAAACCTCTCCCCCTCCCCCCCAACCCCTCCAGTATTTTCTGGAGGACTCAGAGGGGTGAGAAGGGCGGGGTATAAGTAGCAGAAATAAATAAATATTAGTCATGTTGGGTATGTGTGCCAAGTTTGGTCCAGATCCGTTGTTTGCAGGAGTCACAAGTCGCTGTGGGAGTGGGAGCCACTTTGGAAAATAGTTAGGTTGATAGATATATACATACATATTTCATAGATAGATGGATGGATAGATAGATAGATAGATAGATAGATAGATAGATAGATGAGGTAATCAATACCAGATAGCCACACACATACAATTCCCAGCACTACTGGTATGTCATTACCGTACGTCGAATACTCTCTTCCAACAGAAGAGTCCAATTGTATTTAAAAATCTTAATAACATAAAAGAGAAGCCAGATATTGCTCTTTTTATTGAAAAAAAGTATTATTTATTATTTATTTTATTTACTGCATTTATAACCCACCCTTCTCACCCCAAAGGGGACATACTACTTCAGCACACTACAGAATGAATCCATTTCAAATCCAGTTTCGGTCTCCTGAATTCTGGCGTTTGTAGTTTACTGAGGCTGTTAAAGTCTCCTCCCTAAACTACAAAACTACAAAGTGGATTGATTCTCTAGTGTGATGAGGTCCTGAGAGCAGCCTTACAATCGGCAGCAATTTGATGCATTTTACCAGACATAAAATAAACATATACATTAAAACAAAAACATTAAAAAGCAATATAAATATTAAAATGCATTATTAAAATCATGCAATCCGAAGACATAGTCAAAAGCCGTTCCTGTTGTTATTGCACTTAATTCCCCTTCACTTGTTGCACTGCACTATTGGCCAAAGGCTTGGCCCCAGAGCCATGGTTTAACTTTCTTCTTGAATATCAGGAGGGAAGGGGCTGATCTGATTTTGATGGGGAGGGAATTCTGTAGCTGAGGGGCCACCACTGAGAAGGTCCTGTCTCTCATCCCCACCAGTCATGCTTGTGAAGGAGGTGGGACTGAGAGCAAGGCCTCCCAAGATGATCTTAACCTCTGAGATGGTTCATAGAGAGAGATGTGTTTGGATAGATAAGCTGGGCAAGAAACGTTTAGGTCTTTATAGGCTAAAGCCAGCATTTTGAATTGTGCTTGGTAGCAGATGGGCAACCAGTTTCATCTATAGTGGGGTACTCGGAGTCTTTGAGATGTCCTTTGTGGGAGGGTTAAAGAGGATGATAACTATAAATTTTATTTGTTATCTACATCTCCTCAAGGCTTGAGACATAAAACATAAAAACATAAAACCCCATTTATACTTGTATTGAAAGACAGAAGAAGAAAATTGTGTGTTTTTCCCCCTTTTTTTGCAGAAGTTAAACAGAAATGAGGTTCAAAGATTTTATTTCAGTTCAGGACAGTACTTGAGCAATTCCTGATTACTCAACCAGTTGCCCAAGTTTTTACTACATAAGACTTGAGATCAATGTGGGCATGTTGCCACAGGAAAGCAAAATGAGGACATTGCCTCACACGGTTAAAAATCTGCCCTGCCATGAAGGTTTCCTACATTTACAACATTGCAGTCACTTAAATGTGCAGCTGAGCATTTAGAAACAGAGTTTGGGCATCCAAAGAAGAGGAGCAGGCAAAGTTACCAAAAGGAATGCAAACAAAATGTTTTAGGTATGAATGATTCTGAGTTCTAAGTGTGAAAGATTTTTAATGTCTTAATCTCTGCATTGCTAGAAATTTGGTGATAGAACCCTGAGACTCGAGGACCAAATAGTGAATAGCGACACTATCACAGGGCCCTTCCACAGAGCCATAACTCAGAATATCAAGGCAGATAATCTGCAATATCTGATTTGAACTGGATTACCTGAATCCACACTGCCATATAATCCAGTTCAATGTGGATTTTATACTGCTGTGTGGAAGGGGCCATAATTAGATGGATTTAGAACCAAAGCTATCTAAATCTCATGATGCCCATTGTCTGGGCTATAGCATCAAACTGATTGGAGTCACATACAGGTGGAGTAGCCCTTATTCAAAATGCTTGAGATCAAATAATAGAATCCTAGAGTTGGAAGAAACCTCATGGGCCATCCAGTCCAACTCCCCGCCAAGAAGCAGGAAAATCTCATTCAAAGCACCCCTGAAAGATGGCCATCCAGCTTCTGCTTGAAAGCATCCAAAGAAGGAGCCTTCACCTCACTCCAGAGTAGAGAGTTCCATTTATGAGCAGCTCTCACAGTCAGGAAGTTCTTCCTAATGTTCAAGTGGAATATCCTTCCCTGTAGTTTGAAGCCATTTTCTCATGTTCTAGTCTCCAGGGGAGCAGAAAACAAGCTTGCTCCCTCTGCCCTATGACTTCCCCTCACATATTTATATATGGCTATCATGTCTCCTCTCAGCCTTCTCTTCTGCAGGCTAAACATGCCCAGTTCTTTAAGCCACTCCTCATAGGGCTGGTTCTCCAGAACCTTGATCATTTTAGTTGTCCTCCTCTGGACACATTCCAGCTTGTCAACATCTCCCTTAAACTGAAGCACCCAGAATTGGACACAAGGCAGAATTGAGGGGTAGCATGTCTTTTGGATTTCAGATTTTGAATTACCTATGTTTCCGTATACGTATACAATGAGACATTTTGGAGTTGGGAACAATGAAAATAATTCATGTTTCATATACTCCTTATAATCTTAACCCGAAGGTAACTGTATACAATGTTTCATATTACATGTGCCTATAGAAGGATTTTGTTTATTGAATAATCAGAAGGCAAAGGTGTCACTTAGCCACTCCTGTGCACAATTTTGAAGTATTTCACATTTTAGAATTCTGGATAAAAGATGCTCAACCTGGTCTGCCTTTTAACATGGTGAATGAAATGCCAGCAGTGATTCCTTTTGCTAGACAGTGACAGCTGTATCCTGGGCTGTGTAATACCAAGGTTAATCTCTGTGATGGAAATGGTATGCATTTTGCTTTGTTTATTGATTGGCCAGATTTTTCTTTTACTTGAAGCAGAGAAGTTTGAGTGGAAAAAACAATGTCTCATCCACTTCTGTCAAATTCTACTCAATAGTTCATGATTCTATGGCTCAGCCACTGTATGTATTTTGTTGACAGCCATGGCCAACTCAAGACTGACAAATACAAATGGTAATATAATAAATAATAATAAAACTTTATTTATATTCCACCCTATCTCCCCTGGTAGCTCAACATGAAGGACCCCAAGCTACTCAATGAGGACTAGAAGTGTGGTGAAAGAAGGCATAAGAGAAGTTGAGAGAAGGCATAAGCATACAAGGGACTTCCAGCTTCTCAGACTGTTGCTGCAAATTCAGCTAGTGGGCTCAAAACCCACAGTCACTAATAATCTGTGACATGGCCAACTGGTATTGTGCAACACCTTCTTCGCTGTACTTCAGGGTCACAACCTGCACATCTTCAGCAGTCACCTTAGGAATTGTCATCTTTGCCACTTTCAGAAGTTGATCCCAAGAGATCGGCCATCCTTGGCATCAGAATTGCAATACAGCACAAAAGCAGAGGCTTCATCACAAGTGACACTGTGGAGATTCAGACTGACCTGAATGCATCCCACCAGAAGGAGTGTTTATTGATCCTTGGGCAAAAAGTCCCCATCTGTGGTTGGTAAGAAAAAAGAGATCCAGAACTCTTTTCAACCATAGGTGGATTTTGCTGACCTGTTACTGATCATTGCTCCACACTTTTTGCTACTGAGGAGGAGGAGGGGCATAAATAGAGGAGGACAACCAAATATCCTTCATCTTTGGAGGTATGTCCATATACCTCTTCATCCTTATCCTTTTGCTAACTTAGTTTTTAAGGAGTTAATTCTGATCCCTTGGGAATGAAATTTGTTTTACTTTTATGCTGTGCACATAGAGATGTACAGTGGAGAGGAGTTTCCTGTAGAAGAAGTGGAAATCCCACCAGTTCTTGCAGGGCCTGTACCATCAATGCCACGGAGGGAGGAAGTGCAAGAGGAAGAATGCGAAGGAGAGAAGGTTGAATCACAGCAAGGAGAGGATCCAAGGAGAGGTACATCTCTTTAGTATAGATGTGCCTTGTCTATCTTGGATGTGTTTGTGCTTTCCTATATAATTTCAAAAATAAAGTTTGAACATGATATCACCAATTTAATTGCTGATTTTGGCAGAATATTTCTTTAATGTACAGTATATCTGTTGGCATGTGAGTTTGTGTGTGTGACATCTTATAGCAACAGTGCCATTTTCTACAGATTGCATGCAGCAACACTGAAAGGCATAATGGTAACGTCTCCCTTACGTCTGTCATGCTTTCTCTATCTACAGACATACCTGTGAGGCCACCTTCAGAGGCAAAACTCTCTCCCGGCATGTGCTTGAGAAGGATGAGGATGAGGTTGGACTGTGGCCACTGTTGAGGAGAAAACATTGCCAGGACCATTATATAACATATAAGCTGGGGGGCAAGACTCCACAGGGAGGAGGACAGAACTCACAGAGAGTTAGTCCTTCAAAGGATGGATGGGTTCATGAGGTTATGGAGAACATTTCTTCAGAACTTCAGGAGGACAGGCAGGAAGCCAGAGATGGACAGGCTCCATTTGTAAATCTTGTGGAGAGATCTTGTGCAACATGGGCCTGCTCTTTCATCTACAGAAACAACTTCATGACCTTCTCCTCCAAACTATCTAATTCTGTCAGCAGAACTGCTGCTGTGAGGACAGGACAAAGGGAGCAGGTGGAAAGACGCCTTTTTCCCTTGAAGGTTTCAATAGACATTTCTCCATTTCATTAAGAGAAGAGTTGTTTAGGTTTCCAACAATACCAAATGTGTTCAGAGTGGATAACTCTGCTACTTTCACAGCCTTCTTTGGAGGTTTTAAATAGATGCTGGATGGCCATCTGCTGGGGGCTGCTTTGATTGTGCTTTTCCGGCATGGCAAGGGGTTGGACTGGATGGCCCATGCATTTTTTTCCAACTCTATGATTCTATAATCTACATTTTTTTTCATCCTGTTAAGATTTCTGAAATTATGTATCTATTCTTGTTTCTGTGTGATAAACTGTTAGTAATTAATATGTTGAGATAGAGGAACATTGGACATATTGGGAGGGGCCATCCATCTCCCATGTGATGAGTCAAAGAGGTAAAGAACATTATTTTATTAAGTACAGAAAGAAAGGAGGGTTCTGAGGGTGTGATGGGATTTGTATGTATTCTGTCACCCTGGAATCGGAGCTGTTTCCACCGAAATCAGATGACATTTAAATTGACGATACCAGTTCTAGACTACATCATATGATGGGGAATCATCACCATAAACCTCTTTCATCTCATCGAATGTCTCCTTTGGTGTGTGGCCTTTCAAGTCAAGGAATTTGGTGATCGCTCTGTATTCCGCTGTGTCCATTATCAAATGTCATACCACAGCACCTGTAAAACCAAAACCGTGATGAGTTGTAAATTGGCATGGAACCTATAGAGCAGTGGTTCTCAACCTGTGGGTCCCCAGATGTTTTAGCCTTCAACTTCCAGAAATCAGCTGGTAAACTGGCTGGGATTTCTGGGAGTTGTAGGCCAAAATACCTGGGGACCCACAGGTTGAGAACCACTGCTATAGAGACTTATATCATTACACATGTGCAGCTTCAGCGTCCTGTGATAAATAGAAGTGGGTCGGGGAAATGTTTAATGAAAATTTCCCCTCGTAGCTATGGTTCACAGAAATTATACAGCTGGATATTTGGAAAGATCTTTGTGGCAATTCCTAACAAGTGGCTACTTGCAGGTATCCAGGTTTTCCTGATGCCCTCTCACAACAGGCCCTGCTAGGGAGGGCTGATGTCTCCTATCATCATCCTGACACCCCAACCACTTAAAGATGCAGTTTTTAAACCCAAACAGGCAACAGTCAGGCATTTCTTGGTGTCAAGAGAAATTATTTATTTTGGAGAAGTATAATGCAAGAAAAATAGAGACAGGGAGGGAGAGAGCAGAGTGGACGTGGGCCTCCATGGGCGACAAGCAAGCTGGAACAATGAATGATGCAGCTACAATTACTTTCTAGCATAATTGGTCAAAAGGGCAAAAGGTGAGATTACATCATGCATATCATTAACATCTTATACTTTCTTTGCGTCCTTTGTTGTTTTAATTAGGGGTCACTTTCTACAGTAGCTCATTCTCTTGTCTCTTTATTTTCAAGGCCAAAAATGACTCATCTTAGAGGGAGGAGACAGGAGACAGTTCCAGGCATCTGGAGAGTTCCCAATAGGGAGGGCTATTGTCCATTCTCAGTCCTCATCTGATTTCTCTGCAAAAGAAAGGATGGAAAACAATAGAGAATAGTGAGAACTTCTCCAAGAATGTCTAAATAACTTTAGGCCCTTCTGTACTGCCATATAATCCAGATTATCAAAGGAGATAATCCACATTATCTGCTTTGGACTGGATTGTATGAGTCTGCACTGCCATATAATCCAATTCAAAGCGGATAATCTGTATTTTATATGGCAGTGTAGAAGGGGCCTAAGAAGACATTGAATCAAAGAGGAATCTGAAAGGCTACATAGATTTAGTTTATCTTTAAACAATAGGTCCCCAAAGAATTGTAGGAAGACTCCCATCTTGCCAAGCATGCTGGGGATGTTTAGTTATCATCTTCCTTCAGTACCAATCACATGCACATTGCAAAAGTATGATTCCTTTGCAAGAAAGAGGGACTTAACCCAAATTGTTGTTGTAGTTTGTGTGTTTTCTGGATTATCTAAGGAAAAACAAAAATATGTGTATAAAACCCAAGAGCAGTAGACCAGCTAAGCCGTGATATTCAATTGGCTCCCCGCCTCTGGAATGCCCTCCCGAAAGATCTCAGACAGGCCCCTACTTTGGCGGTTTTCAGAAAGAACCTGAAAACTTGGCTGTTCCAACGTGCCTTCTCAGATTAGGAACCCCACTACCAAAGCCCAGAAGCACTTTAGTAGAGTCAAGATCACCTTCACCGCACACTGCACTTATATTTTAATCCCATATCCCTCCGACACTTCAGCACTTTTAACCCTGTACCCCACTCCGGCCGGCTCAGTTTTTAATAATGTCCTGTTGTATTGCTATTGCTATTGTTTTTCTGCTTTAACTGTTTTATTTGCTATGTATTGTGTTGTTGTATTGTGTTGGGCTCCGGCCTATTGTAAGCCGCATCGAATCCCTTGGGAGATGCTAGCGGGGTACAAATAAAGTTATAATAATAATAATAATTATTATTATTATTTGTAGACAATAGGTCTTATCCTTTTCATGGGGAAGAGAGGTTGACATGGGAGCAGAACCCAATTTGGGTTATTAAAACCAAGGTCGGGGTGCACTTCAGTGTGCACATTGGCCACAAAATCCCACACTTTTTCAGCTGGGTGTCTAGATGCCCTCCTGAAACCTTCTGGGAAGGTAGCCACACACACACACACACACAGCCTTTTGCAATAAACTAACTTACCCGGCTATCATTCCCCCTTCTCTAGAGTTCTCATGGCACGTAGAAATTTTGTGCCAGGAGAAGGGGGCCAGGAGCAATTTTCCTCTTCCCCTCTTCCCCTGGCACATCATTTCTACATGCCAGGAAACCTCTGGAGAAGCAGGAATGGCAGCTGGGTAAGTTATTTTTTAAAGACTTTGGAGAGGGGGAGGCTGGTGTCCTTGGGGTTTTCCAGGCTGATTCATCCCAGAAAACGTGAGGAGGCTGTGTGAACGCACCTCCCCACCCCCTCCAAAGACACTGAACTTCCTAGAGAGCAGTCCAGACAGGCTCTATACCCCATTAGATGTGGGCCTTTCAAGAAGGCCCGGATCTATTCGGGTATCTAATTAATTTGGGACAAAGCAGGGTTTTACTGTTTTGTCCTGAATTAATTCGTTTTGGATGGATGCTCCATGTGAAAATCCAAGAGGGCATGTATTTTATGCCCTGTCTGGATGGACCCTAAATTACCCAAGTGTATTTGGCTAAACAGATCACAAGGGAGTAAATAAAAAAAGGACAAAGGCTAAGCTACAAAACTGTTTTCTGCAATATCCAAAATCTTTTTTGACCTAAAAGACCAGTTAGCCCAGCAAAAATGATATTTTGGGTATCCTGGTCACCATTACACCTTGTATTTTGTAAGACACCAGCACTCTTTGGCAGAAGAAAATCAATACCTTTAGTTCCTATGATTCTATAGCACTGAGCTGTGGTACTTAAACTGGTGTCAAACTCTATTCTTTCTATAATATACATACATCCCAAATCAATTGCATAGATGGTGGCAGTTGATAGAATTCAGGAATCCCCTTCCTACTCATGAACATGAGACAGACCAACACATATGACAATTAGATTAAAGAGACAGCAGATCCGATAAAAACTAAACTTATTAGAAATGCCAGTGGGATGGCCCACAGAGGTATAGAACATAAGATTAAAAACTGGACTCACTTGGTTTTGCAGTATGTGTTTTAAAAAGATTGCAGTGTTGAGCAGGCGATACCGGCAGAACCTGGGCTGGCTCAGTGCTAAGAAGGTAGAAGTTCTGCAGCGTGGCATTATAAAGTGGCCACTTCACTTCTATTTTCTCTGATCCTGTGGGTTTTCTATAGAGGAAATAATAATATATTTATAACAAGGAGAGAGTGATGTTGCATGTAAACTCTAGAAGAGATTTCAAAGTTTGGAGGTTCTTTTAGGTTTGAATAATTAACAACTTGGGTGCACAACTGAAATGAATTGAATTCTTTGGATGTAAAAACAAATCAAAATAAGTTTTTTTCTTCCTCTAAATGCAATCTGGTTGTCCACTATGGCAACATAGTAATAGATAATATTTGCCTTTGGCATGATCCAGCAGACTTATTTTTATATTCTCACATGTTCTTCCTCAGTAAGAACATCGATTTCGAGATGGAAGGGAGTCCTGACAAGGGTTGGCTTGATGTGCCTTCCTCTTGACACGTTTCTCTCTTTGGCCCTCCATTTGTTCCTCTTTAATTCTACAGCACTGTTGGTAACAACTGTCCTTCAGTTAGAGTGCTTGAGGGCCAGGGCTTCTCAGTTCTCGGTGTCTATGCCACAGTTTTTAAGGCTAGCTTTAAGTCCATCTTTAAATCTCTTTTCCTGTCCACCAAAATTCTGTTTTCTGTTCTTGAGTTGGGAATATAGTAACTATTTGGGAGATGGTGACTGGACATTCAGACAAGGTGGCCAGTCCAGCAGAATTGATGGCGGAGGATTATCACTTCAGTGCTGATGGTCTTTGCTTCTTCCATCAGACTTACATTTGTCCGCCTGTCTTCCCCAGAGATTTGCAGGATTTTTCAGAGGCAACGCTGATGGAATCGTTCCAGAAGTTGAGTGTAACATCGTAGACAGTCCATGTTTCGCAGGCATATAACAGAGTTGGGAGGAGAATAGATTTATGAACAAGCATCTTGTTATCCATATATAGCTTTGGATAGCATAAGGTGATGTTTTCTTTGCTGTCTGTGCCCCTGTTCAGAAGATTTCACCTCACTTTCGGCCCACTTTCTAAATTTTGAAAAAAATTGGCTTGTTGTGGAAACATGGATGTTGTGAGAAAGCTTAAGTGGAGATATCTTTCAGATTTTTGTAACTCAGGGAGTGCCTATAATCTACTTTATTTGGTTCTGATCACACACTGGGTTAAACAACCTATTACATGAAGTCTGAAATTGTTTTCTGCTTTCTCTTGCACAATAGTTAACAAAAGCTGGAGGTTTGGGCTGGCCAAATTTCTTCTACCTGTCACATTCTGGAATCAAAATCAATATGATGTAATATGATGTAAGGTACTGAGAGCCCTTCCGATGTTCTTGGAGTCCACCCCCAGCAATCCAAACCAATAGTGAGGAACAGGAATTGAAAGTAAATATTTAAATTTGCAGGACAACCTGTGACAAATGGAATCTGCATAAAGCCATTAAATTAAATACAAACAAGAGTATTGACCCAAGAAGCCTTTTGATTACGTTATTTTTTCAGATTTTGGAATTCCTGCTTCCCATACACTGTATACACAGAGGTTGAAGGTAATTACATACAATATTTTAAATAATATTGAGCATGAAACAAAGTTGGTTTACATTGAACCATCAGAAAACAAAATAATAATAATAATAATAATAATAATAATAATACTTTATTTGTATCCTGCCCTATCTCCCTGAAGGAACTCAGAGTGGTGTAAACAAAGGTGTTGCTATCTCAGAATGAATTGATTTTCTGAAAAAAAAGCAGAAAAGTATGAGCGAAAAATGCCTTACCCAGTTCTGGCGAATTCTGCCCAATATCGCATTATCCTACGACTGAGCTCTGCTTCTGCTTCTGTGTGTGTTTTGTTGGCCTCCAATGCTGCCTTAAAGTTTCCAAATAGATAAATGAGATCAGCTCCATGAGGCGCTCCTGCCCACTCAGGCCAAACAGAGCCAGAGGTATAATGCTTAAAAAGGTAAACATACACAGGACTCCCAGCATTTCTGATCTGGGCAGCAAATTTGGCTACAGGACATACAAAGAAATAATCACTCAAAAATTGTATGAAGGCTGAACGTTGCTTTTCTGGATCATGACTCTCTTCACTGTACTTCAGGGCCACAGCTTGAATATCTTCTTCAGTTGCACTTCGCAGTGCAAATCTTAATACCATTAAAAATGTTTCCCAAATGGTTTGGCTACCATTGTTTCCAAGAATAATTAAATCCACGATGAAAGCTGCTTCATCTGAGGTGACACCAGTGAGAACTGGTTTGATCTGAACATGCTGAGAATCTAAAAGACTCTGAGGATCATCAGTCAAAAAACCCCCATCTGCTGTTGGTGCAAAGACAGTATCCAAAAGATTTTTCTGAAACAGAGCTCTTTCATGCTGAGGAAATTCCAATGCATTTTTGTCTTGAAGACAGCTCACAATTTCATTTTCATTGC